GAGATTCCTGTCAGAGTGACGTAGTTCTGCACAGGCCCCTCCCACGATTGTTGATTGGCAAGTCCGTCTTACCTTAGCTCCGCCCTGAGTGACTGTCATCAGTCCACCATTGTGTCGACTCTAGTGCAGGGGAAGACAAGAATGTCTCTGATTTAAGCGATTGAGGTGTTTTGTTGCTAATAATGAACATAGCAGTCGTCATTTACTCCCGACATCTGAAGACGCAGAGGATTACAATGTATTGTTGGCTATTGCTACAAATATACCCGTGCTACTTATGACTGCTTTTGTGCTCCAGGGTCACATAATAATGATTTTTACTATATGACAGTCAGTTGATTTTCAACATGATAGCAGCCTTTTATAATAGATTTATTTATTCTATTTATCTCATTTTTAACCGCTTTCTTGCCATCAACATGACAGTGGTAGCTGGAATTGCATTAAATTACAAACAAAAGTATTTTTGTATATTTCATCATTCTAAAAAAAAAAAAAGAAAAACAACACGCTATCTTGTCCGTGTTGTGTTGTCTCTACAGAGCCTCACTTCCTGCATGCTGTCGAATACGGCAACTACGTGTATTTCTTCTTCAGTGAGATCGCAGTGGAGCACACCGGCGCTGGGAAGGTAAAAGATGAGTGTGTGAGAAGATTTAGACATTCAGTTCTGTTATAAAATCAGTTAGTGATTCCTGCTTGCTCCTCGTGGTGTAGGTGGTGTATTCGCGCGTGGCGCGCGTGTGTAAGAACGACAGCGGCGGCTCCACGCGGGTGTTGGATCGCCACTGGACGTCATTTCTGAAGGCGCGCCTGAACTGCTCGGTTCCTGGAGACACGTTCTTCTACTTCGATGTGCTGCAGTCGCTCACCAACGTGCTGCAGATCAACCAGCGGCCCGCTGTGGTGGGAGTCTTCACCACACAGATCAACAGGTACACAGTCACCACTAGGGTTCGGTACCCAACTCTGTACTTTTTAGAGTACCTATTCACATTAAATTAATAACTAGGGATGTGACGATGAACCGTGAGCCGGTTGCAAATTGATTCAAATACGTGACGATTCAAATCGGTTGAGATGCCAAACAAATCGCGATACTGTTGGAGCAGGAGTTTATATGAATTATCTCTGAGGGCAAATGACTGTCTTTAAAAAAGTTTGTGGTATTTTCTTTTCATCTTGCCTCTGAACGATGCATATTAAAGTAGTGTTCATAAGCGCAGCTCTGCTTTGTTTACAGCGGTAACCAAGGAAACACTGTATCATTGCTGTTCATGAGCGCCACCTGCTGTCAGAGAGTGCATCTGCGTCTCATTCAGCCCGTCTGCTGCTTCCTTCAGATGTTTTATGTAGTATAGTTTCACAAAACTAAAGTCAGACCATTCTGTTTTTGCTTCAGATTTCGAAATGATACAATCTAATTTAGATTAAAAACTGCTCATGCTGCACGTACGCTGCATCTTTGTTTGGATCATGATTAAAATGCAGTGGTTGCCTCTAATTTTAAATGTTAAGAGCTTAGTTTGTTTATATGAAGAGATTTTTTTTTTTTTTTTTAAATCAAGGCCCTGTAAAGTTTTTGAAAATAAACATGCATAGATACAGATCCTTGAAAGTGCTTGAATATATTTTGTGCAAGAAGTTTTCTGGAAAAAATACCATATTATCACCTCCGGTCCATTAATGTGTTATTTCGCCAAAACTTCATGGCCTATGCACACTAGCTTGGCGCAGAAGTTCTTCACTGTGAGTGAGGCAGACACAAAGTTGGCAGTTTCTAATACAATATTGACCGTTTTTGCTCAAGTTCGCTGACGAAGTTTCAATCAAAGCCACAGCAGAACTGTTTTGTGTCTCTGAGCAACACAGCAGTGTTTTTCGATTCTGAATGAATCCACTTTTTTGAACGAATCAAGTGAGTCAATGATTCAGTAACCCTTTCATAAAGGCAGACGCCTCGATTCTGAATGAATCAGCCGTTTGAATGAATGACTAATGACTCGCTCATTAAAGCAGTCATTTACCGTCATCTACTGGTGGTTTGGTTTCATATTTACAAGTATTGCATTTTCCCCAACATTTTTAACTTGTATGTTCAAAAATATTTAAAACATTAATCTTACAAAATTATTTATGCATTTGAAATGTTGTGGTGTAAATGCATTTATGGCACCACGGTTTCATTAAACAGTCTGTGTGAATACATCTAATGCCACTTCAGATGCAGCTTCTGTTTCCTCTGCAGTGAAAAGATGAAGAGTTTGTTGGTACTGTACCGGTTAAAATGTGACACACACACACCGCACCACATGTTTGATCAGTCTGTGTCTGTGTGTCCCAGCATTCCCGGCTCAGCGGTGTGCGGGTTTTATTTGGATGACATTGAGCGAGTGTTTAATGGGAAATTTAAGGAGCAGAAGAACAGTGATTCGATGTGGACGCCTGTGCCTGAGGAACACGTGCCCAAACCACGGTAAAACACACACACACACACACACACACACTCCGAGAAATAAGTTGGGGAAAAAACAGAGTGAATCTCACCAAAACTGTCAGGAACATGCTTGCACAAAATCAGAGGAAAGAAATTAAGGAATTACATTTTCCATAAAGAAAATAACCATTAAGATATTTTTTATTATTATTATTATTATTATTATTATTTCATTACAATTAAACGCAACAACGTCATTACAATTTTCCCCCAATCCTTATTATTGTAATATGAGAAAAAAAGATGTTAAGGTGTTCATACATTTTTCATATAATAATGGGGCGTTAAGCACACTGAAGACTGGAGTAATGATGCTGAAAATAAGCTTCACGGGAATAAATTACATTTTAATATATATATTCACATAGAAAACAGCTGTTTAAAATGGTTATAATATCTTACAATTCGAGCCCGACCGATATGGGTTTTTTGGGGGCTGATGCCGATACCGATATTGGGGAGTAAACCAAGGCCGATACCGATATATCAGCCGATATTCTTTGTGTAAGCTATATTATAGTACAGTATAGTCAAAAGTTTGGACACACTTCCCATTCTTGTGTCCAAACCTTTTACTTTTTAGTGAGATTTATCCAGCAGGAATAAAGATACACACCCACCGAAGCATCTGTGTTTAATTCCTTGAAATAAAATAAAATGTTCAAATAAAAAATTCCACTTATTTTATTTCCGCTAGTTGCCAAGATTTAAATAACCAAAACTAAATAAACTAAACTAAAAGTTGATAAAAACTGTACAAGTATGCTTATAAATGAATAAATAATGACAAAAGAAAAAAACAACACAAACAAAAAAAGACTAATACTCTGGTCTGTGTGTGTTTGTGTGTTCAGTCCAGGTTCATGTGCAGGTGAAGGTTCAGCGTCCTCCTACTCGTCTTCTGTTCAGTTTCCAGACTCTGTGCTTTCATTTATTAAGACACATCCACTGATGGACGAGTCTGTGCCGTCAATCAACAGCCAACCACTGATCACCAGCACTGCTAGCAGGTACCACACACACACACTCTCACACACTCACACTCACACTCACACTCACACACACACTCACATACTCACTCACACTCACACACACACTCACTCTCTCACACACACACACTCACTCTCTCTCTCTCACACACACACACACACACACACACACAGGTTTGTTTTTATGGTTTATGAGGACTCTCCATAGGCGTAATGGTTTTTATACTGTACAGACCGTATATTCTATTGCCCTACCCCTAAACCTACCCCTCACAGGAAACTTTCTGCATTTTTAGATTTTCAAAAAAACTCATTCTGAATTATTTATAAGCCTTTTGAATTACGGGGACGCTGAAAATGTCCTCATAAATCATATGGGTAATACCTATGTCATACCCATGTTATTATACAAATTTGCGTCCTCATAAACCACATAAACATGCACACACACTCTCACACACACACATTCACTCTCTCTCACACACACACACACACACACACACACACACACACACTCTCACACGTTTGTGTGACTCTGCATCATACTGACGTGTTTGTACTTGTGCAGGTATAAGCTGACTCAGATTGTAGTGGATACGGCGGCTGGGCCTCATAAGAACCGCAGCGTTGTGTTTCTGGGCTCTGAAGACGGACGGGTCCTGAAGATCCTGACAGGCACTCAAGCCAACAGCTCACGCAGCTCCAGACTACTGGAGGACCTCCACGTCTTCAGCCCCACACAGTGAGCGTCACAGCAGCACCGCTCTGACTGTCTGTCACAAAGCTTTTCTTGTCTAAAGCTTGCTGTCTTGTTCCAGGTGTAGCGGAGAGCGCACTGTGTTGGGTCTGGAGCTGGATAAGGAGCATCACGCTCTGTTTGTGGCATTTTCCAGCTGCATTATCAGAGTTCCTCTCAGCCGCTGCGCTCGACACACCACCTGCAAGAGGTGAGGCATTCACACGCTAAATATAACGTCTAAACGTACTTGATTTAAAGAGGTCATATGATGCGATTTTCAATTGTTCCTTTCTCTTTGGAGTGTTACAAGCTCTTGGTGCATAAAGAAGATCTGTAAAGTTGCAAAGACTAAAGTCTCAACGCAACGCAACACGTAAAGACAGTATAAGTCATTATAATCAGTAATTATGTCCACACTGGATCCAACAAATGCCTCATTTGTAATGGGTTTGAATGGTTTTGTGTCATCTAGTGATGTCTGGATCGCGAACGAATCGTTCTATTTAACCGGTCGAACCAGTTCACCAAATCAAACTGAATCGTTTGAAACGGTTCGCGTCTCCAGTACGCACTAATCCTCAAATTACTTAAGTTATTCGGTTTATAAACGTGCCTGACACTCCCTCTGACGCAAAATAAACCAATATCCCGAGTTATTCAGTTACTCCTAACAGTACATTGACTGAACTGCTAAAAGAGAACCGATGATGGGATGTGCACGAGCAGAGCAGCTGGACTGAGTCTCGTCGCTCCGGCCGGACAGGGCAGCACAGTATGGTGAGGGGCGTAACATTTCCGTCACACGCTTGAGGTATTCGGCCAATCACAACACACTGGATAGCCGGCCAATCACAGCACACCTCGCTTTCAGAATGATGAGCTTTGTAAAAATCGACACGTTTCAGAAATGCGGGGCATAGAGGAGAAACTATAATGTACAGTATGTGGAAAATAATGTGTTTTTAACTTTAAACCGCATAAACACATTTCATTACACCAAATACACACAATAATGTTCTTTTTAGCAGCATCATATGACCCCTTTAAACATACTTGCATATTAAAAGTCGAAAAGTAACAACACAACTGTAATTATAACAGGATTACCAAAAATAATAGATTCCCTTACAGTACTTTATTATGAAATTATTTTATTTTATTTTCCTCCCAAAATAGTAATATATATATATATTTTTTTCGGTTTTAATTTTTCTGCAATTTTTGTTTAAATTTTTCTGGATTCCATTTTAATGATTAAATTAAAATATATATATTTTTAGTAATAAAAAGGTATCTGATTGAAATCATGCAACTTGTACAATTTTAGAAAAATTTATTAAATGTCTAACAAAAATACATTTTGGGGCCCTAATTTTTACACATTTTTCTTTTTTCTGGATTACATTTTTATGTTTTGGTAAAAATGTTTAATGAATGAATAAGGCATTTATATAGCGCTTTATTGTGTATTGTTAATAATCAAAAAGCATGTTTAATCAATTCAGCCTTAACAGCTTAATTTTTTATTTTATTTTTAAAGTACAGTAATAAGCCCTTGTTTATTTTTCTGAAAATCTATGATATCTGTTTTTTATCTCTCTGGATTAATTTTTGGTTAAATAAAATTTGAGTTATTATAAACAGTGTCAAATTAATTGATCATGAAACCTTTACTATTCATTATGTGATTAAATACAACTTTATCAAAAAACAGTGGTCTTCAGATGAACTCTTAAAACATTAAGAATTTAATTAATCAAATGTGATCAAATAAAAATTTTACAATTGCTTTTATTTGGTAAACAAAGTGATGCACAACAGAGGATTACTGTAAAAATTAAAACATGGAAGAATAATAAGTGTCATTGGTTCATGATTCAGAATAGATGTAATGTTGTGTGTTTTTTTTGTCAGACTTGCTGTCTGTTTATTATCTTTGTATTATTTCACATAATAGACCCGTATCTCATCACATTCACTTGAGACAGCAAACTGATTACTCAAGTAAACCGTGTCTTCCGAAGCTTATTGTCTATCATTATTCACTGTGTTCCTCCACAGACGCTGTCTCCACACGCATGACCCATACTGCATCTGGCTGCGGACGGGACGCTGTGCTGACGTGGCTCCAGGGTTCAAGTAAGAGTGACATCACTTCCTGCAGCTATCACATGGAGCCTAAATGAGCCCAACCTAATCTTCCTGTCTGTGTTTTTATGGCGTGTGTCTGTGTGTGTGTGTGTGTTTCTGTGTGTGTGGTGTGTGTGTGTGTCTGTGTGTGCGCGTGTCTGTGTGTGTTTCTGTGTGTGTGGTGTGTGTGTGTATGTGTGGTGTGTGTCTGTGTGTGTCTGTGTGTGTGGTGTGTGTGTGTGTGTGAGTGAGTGAGTGTGTGTCTTTGTGTGAGTTTGTGTGTGTGTGTGTGTGTGTGTGTGTGAGAGAGAGAGAGAGTGAGTGTGTGTAATAGACCCGTATCTCATCACATTCACTTGAGACAGCAAACTGATTACTCAAGTAAACCGTGTCTTCCGAAGCTTATTGTCTATCATTATTCACTGTGTTCCTCCACAGACGCTGTCTCCACACGCATGACCCATACTGCATCTGGCTGCGGACGGGACGCTGTGCTGACGTGGCTCCAGGGTTCAAGTAAGAGTGACATCACTTCCTGCAGCTATCACATGGAGCCTAAATGAGCCCAACCTAATCTTCCTGTCTGTGTTTTTATGGCGTGTGTCTGTGTGTGTGGTGTGTCTGTGTGTGTGTGGTGTGTGTATGCACGTGTCTGTGTGTGTGTGTGTTTCTGTGTGTGTGGTGAGTGTGTACACGTGTGTGTGTGTATGTGTGGTGTGTGTGTGTGTCTGTGTGTGCACGTGTCTGTGTGTGTTTCTGTGTGTGTGGTGTGTGTGTGTATGTGTGGTGTGTGTCTGTGTGTGTCTGTGTGTGTGGTGTGTGTGTGTATGTGTGGTGTGTGTGTGTGTGTCTGTGTGTTTCTGTGTGTGTGGTGTGTGTGTGTGTCTGTGTGTGCACGTGTCTGTGTGTGTTTCTGTGTGTGTCTGTGTGTGTGGTGTGTGTGTGTATGTGTGGTGTGTGTCTGTGTGTGTGGTGTGTGTGTGTATGTGTGGTGTGTGTCGGGGTTTGAGCAGGACATTGACGGTGACCAATCACATTCATTTGACACATGCACAGGTAAGTGAGTCGCTGTCACATTACAGCAGCGATGCTTCACTTCTGAGCTAGATGCTGCCATAATACTTTATTTTAATCTCAGATATATATGGATCTTGCATGTATAAGAGGGAATTTTTGCACTGATGTTTGATTAAAGTTTGTCATTTAACATGAGGAAGTGATGAGCTTGATGTCATGCTGCTTTTATCAGTGACTTGATGTAACAGACCTGTTAAAAACTAATGTAATACTAATGAACTAATGCTGATCTCTTCTGTATTTGTGTATGTTCAGATGTGATGTCAGCAGCAGGAAGTGATGTGAACTCAGCTGTGGATTCAGCCTCTGGTCAGTGTAGTAAAAATCTAAAAAATGTGCATTCAAATGTTTTTTGAGCATCTCAGTTGCTCCATCAGGCTTTTATGGCTCATATAATCTGATATAGTGAGAATATGGAGGAAAAACAGCTCAAAATATGAATTTGGTGCAGATGCTGATTTTATATGAGATTCTGATGCTTGTAATGTAACTCAGTGAGATCTTTCTAACAATACAGCAGATACTGACATAAAATGATCTAAATATCAGTCATTGCTCTATATCTCCAGTAGTCTGTCTCAGTGAGATGAGAGTGAAATGCTCCAAACATATAATGCAGTGATTGAGAGCTGAAGAAATAAAGGCTCCTCAGAAGATGTGAGATGTTCTGGAGGCTTGTGAAGATCATTCCTCCGCTGAGGAACAGTGAAAGTAAAGCTGCTGGAAACAAACGCTCCTCAAAAGATCCTGAGGATCAGATTTGAGACTCTAAAACATGATTGATGGAGAATCAAGTAAAGCTGAGCTGCTTCAGTCCAGTAAGAGTTCATCTGGAGATATTACTGACATTATTCTGACCTTTACTTGATCAAAATCAGTCGAGATCTGACAGCAGAAAGACACGAGAAGAGTTTCTATCATTACTCTAAAAGAGCTTTCACTCAGACATGAGGAGATTGAGTGTGAGACAGCAAAGTTTGATCATGTAGCTCAAAAACAACAGAACAAAGATGCAGAGTGAACCTTAATTTTGGTGACAAATATTTTTACATTCAGATTGCTAAAACATTTGCGTTGCAATTAAAACAATGCAAAATAAAAAAAAGTGCAACCCAGCGTAACAATTTATCCAAAGGAACCTACAATTTCTATTCATTAGACAACTACATTAGTATTAGGAACAAAAGAATTGTAATTGACAGCTAAATATGAGATGAATGAGAGTAAAGAATAAGATCAGTCTGTCTCTGTAGGTGTGAAGCAGCTCCCTGACGCGCCGGGTCACTACACTCTTCTGGGCTCGTGTGTGTTGGTGGCGTTCGTGTTGGGCGCCGTCGTGTCAGGTTTGCTGGTGTCCTGTTACTGCGGTCAGAGATCCCACCAATCACAGGAGCCCGAGGCGTCGCTCTCGCTCAACAGCCTCGCCACACTCAGCCGCAATACAGCAGATACTGACATAAAATGATCTAAATATCAGTCATTGCTCTATATCTCCAGTAGTCTGTCTCAGTGAGATGAGAGTGAAATGCTCCAAACATATAATGCAGTGATTGAGAGCTGAAGAAATAAAGGCTCCTCAGAAGATGTGAGATGTTCTGGAGGCTTGTGAAGATCATTCCTCCGCTGAGGAACAGTGAAAGTAAAGCTGCTGGAAACAAACGCTCCTCAAAAGATCCTGAGGATCAGATTTGAGACTCTAAAACATGATTGATGGAGAATCAAGTAAAGCTGAGCTGCTTCAGTCCAGTAAGAGTTCATCTGGAGATATTACTGACATTATTCTGACCTTTACTTGATCAAAATCAGTCGAGATCTGACAGCAGAAAGACACGAGAAGAGTTTCTATCATTACTCTAAAAGAGCTTTCACTCAGACATGAGGAGATTGAGTGTGAGACAGCAAAGTTTGATCATGTAGCTCAAAAACAACAGAACAAAGATGCAGAGTGAACCTTAATTTTGGTGACAAATATTTTTACATTCAGATTGCTAAAACATTTGCGTTGCAATTAAAACAATGCAAAATAAAAAAAAGTGCAACCCAGCGTAACAATTTATCCAAAGGAACCTACAATTTCTATTCATTAGACAACTACATTAGTATTAGGAACAAAAGAATTGTAATTGACAGCTAAATATGAGATGAATGAGAGTAAAGAATAAGATCAGTCTGTCTCTGTAGGTGTGAAGCAGCTCCCTGACGCGCCGGGTCACTACACTCTTCTGGGCTCGTGTGTGTTGGTGGCGTTCGTGTTGGGCGCCGTCGTGTCAGGTTTGCTGGTGTCCTGTTACTGCGGTCAGAGATCCCACCAATCACAGGAGCCCGAGGCGTCGCTCTCGCTCAACAGCCTCGCCACACTCAGCCGCCTCACAGACACCAAACCAGACAAGAACGACCTCCCGTCCTCTCAGACCTACAGCGCCGTTAAACCACACGCCACTGAGGAGGAGGAGCTCATCTCGAACCTGCCCACTCCTGATTCGACCCCGGAGCTGCCAATCAAGAACTTAAAGGCTCTAAACAGCCAATGGGAGAGAAGCCACACCCACAGCTTCACCCTGCAGGTGTTTCCCACCAATCAGACGCTTCCCAGCGCAAACATGCCCTCAGAGAGCCACGATGAGGATGCGTTTAAACACATGCAGAATCTTGATCTTGTGAGTTCATCCATACACATGCCAACATCGTATTACAGCTGCCTAAAAGACATGCCTGAAACCTCAGCGTTTCCGCTACAAACGCTTTCTGAGCGGCCAGACTGCAGCACAAGCTCCTCACAGCACCACATGCTTATAAAGATGCTCACAAACGCCCGCCAGCACAGCTTCAACCAGAAATCAGCGCAACCGGGAAACATCTACGAGCTTCACAGGCCTTTAATCGCAGGCGGCTCG